ACATATATATATTATAATATAACATATATATATATATATATATATATATATATATATATATATATATATATATATATATATATAATATAAGGTCTACTTCTGTATGGAGCACTGTCTTCTTAAAAATAAAAACAAAAATACTAATGAACTCCGGATTATTTACCTAATGTGTTCTTTCCTATTTTTCTGCATACTTGCGCATATATATATATATATATATATATATATATATATATATATATATATATGAGGGAGGATAATTATATTTGATCCTGCTATTTTCATGTTGATATTCTTCGAACCAGTACACCTTCACACACACACACACACACACACACACACATGCACAGATATATATATATATATATATATATATATATATATATATATATATATATATATATGCATGCACAGTACTTAGTGGAAAGTGCTCAGTATCAGCGATAGAGCTATGAAATTCAGTTGTATGGATATGGGTTTGTGGTCTGTGTGGTTACGCTATTGCGATCATCAGACAATCATCTGAGAAAACTCGACTTGCTTATATATGTATTTGTGCCTGGCTTGGGATACATGTGTTAGCCGGGTGGTAACTGATATTGTTACGACAGAACAGTGTGAGGAAACCTACACCATGAAGATCAAGAGCAGAAAGGTTCTCGCCGTTGCTATTAAATAGAGCAGGATGATTAAACTGGTGGCTCGCCTTCAGGAAGGTTTCTCGTCTTGGACATATTTGTAACAGCTAAGTACTGAGGTTAAGTCATATAAAATGCTGAATTAGACAGATAGGTAACATGCGCCAGTGTGTGTGTGCGGTGTGGGTTGCGTCCCTCACATACTAGCGCCACGTAATTATTACATTAGTCACTCGTCCGATTTTCTTTGTATGGCAATGACATACTAGTTGTTCTTTAGTAAATATACTATACATCTTTCATTGTCCGGGGTGGGGGATAAATACTTTTGATGAGGTCGCCACGGGTAATAATTTCCTGGATACGGGTGACAGCCTGGTGGTAACTGATATTTTCACGATAATAGAATATGAGGAAACTTACACCTTCAAGATCAAGAGCAGTAAGGCAACCCGCCGCTGCTTGTAAACATGATACGTTTAAACTTGTGGCTCGCCTTCATGAAGGTTCATAGTTTTGGAAATAATTGTAACAGCTAAGTACTGACTTTACATCATATAAAAAGCTGAATTGGATAGATAGCTAACATGCGTCAGTGTATGTGTGTTTGTGTGTGTGTTCTTAGTAAGAAAAACAGATAAACAGCTTTTTTTTTATTTTGCATAATGCACCATTTTAAGATGATCTCATTGGAATGAAGATAAGTGATATAATGAATATGCATACACCTGGGTTCCCCCTCACAGTAATATGATTGGCTGGTGTCAGCCATAAATACAGACTGATGTGGAGGTACATGGACTATGCCTATTCTCTTCGTCTATTGTCTACGGCTATTGCCTACCACTTCGACGAGGACCAGTCCATTACGGTTACCTGCTAGATTGTCCTACGCGGTTACAGTAGTCAACAACCACTTTGCTACTTCGAACAAATATATCCCTTTTCCGGACATATCAACAAGTATTCGCATTTATTGTACTAATGACAATTTTTGTGTTGTGATCATTGTTATTCCGTTTTCAGAATGAAGAAGATCAAAAGATCAGCAGAGAATTAATAAATAATTATTTATTTTACACATGGAAATAATAACTTATATATTGTCTAGAAATCAATTGTCATGTCGTCCTTTCGGTGTCTAATTTAGCACTATCTTAATTCGTATTCAAATTAAATTGCTCCAGTTCAGTGTTGAACGAAATCATATAATTATATATTTCTCCACTATTAATCCCCAAATATGGAGAAAAGAAATAGGTTTTATCGTTAAAAAAAAAACAACATAAAATTATTAATTTATTTCACAAACAAACTGTTGACCACGGATAATAGATATTGAAGATCGTTAAAACCAAATATAGTTAGATAGCTAACATTATAATGTAATGACTCGTCATAGAAATCCCCGTCCTATCAGTCAAGACAATAAAGTGACCGTCCAAGTTTACTTGAGTTTGGGTGTTGCCTTACATTCGTCTTGGAAGACGTACACGTATTTTTCAGGGTATTTTTAGGAAAACAGAGCGCCTTGGTAATTCTTAGAAATATGTGGCAGCAATATAAGGTTTAAAAGTAATGGTGATTTCTTCGAAGTTATGGCTTCCTAATAAATTATGTTGACTCAAACTGTTGCTGGCACGCCAGAAAAAGTTAACGCCTCCGGACAATAACCTATAAATTCGGTGATATGTTAATGTTATTCAGTTGAAATAATGCTGCAACAGTTTCTGAGTGTTTGCAGAATAACACCAAATCCGAACACCTTGCCCGGAACGTTGCCTGCAGAATTGATGTTCACCAGGAAGATTAAGTCTGTTTTTAATAAATTATTACCAGAACATAAGGCGAGGGCATCAAGAAATAACAATATAAGTAAATACTTCAAACTCGGAGATAATGTATTTTTTAAAATGTATCAACGTGGAAAAGAATTCTGGGAAGGTGGCATTATGAAAAAACGAATCGAGAAAATTACATACATGGTACAGGGCCAAAGGTGGGAGCATAATCAACATCTTAATCAGTTATAATGCAGATTCGGTGATTTAAAAAGTTTCCGAAAAGAGGGACATATGTAAATTTTGTATGACACGTTTGACGTAACCACGACATCAGAAATTGTTGACCCAAGGTTTTATGGTAAGAGCAAAAGAGTGACAACAGAGTTTCTCAATATTGAATTGAAGCTGAAGATATATAGACTGCAGGGGGGGGAAGTCATCGCAAAGGGGAGGTATCATATAGGAAATAATCAGATCACGTGACGGTTAAAGGGCACACACACAATAATATATATATATATATATATATATATATATATATATGTATGTATGTATATATACAGAAATATAGTCTTAAGGTCTGCTATATTTATTGAATAAAGTGCTCAATATCAGAGATAGAGCCTGTGTAAATATAAAGTGAACATTGATGTCAACACTTAGAGGCGACAGGCTGTTTCATGCTAGACTCAATCAATGGCCTGACGATTGCATCTAGCATGAAACAGCCTGTCGCCTCTAAGTGTTTGAGTTAATCTTATCAAATATGTCTCTCCTTCGGCCCAAAAGGTTAAATTTTGTTTTAATTTGTTTTGTTTGTTTCTTATTCACACGGATTTTAGAAACTATTTCATGTGCAAAAAATCTTCTTCGTTTAAATTAAATTAAAAATCTGTTTTTGTATCTAAATAAAAATTAAAGATATTTCATAATAAATCATTCAATCTTCAACAAATCAATGTTTTGCTGCAATTTTTATCATAACTTGACATTTTTCTGCTTATAAAGTTGAATAATTTAACACGTATGTATAAAAAGTAGTGAATTTTATATAGTGTTTTTTTCTTCGATATTTTGAGGATATTATCGGGGAAAACGAATTCACGAATTTGGAAGAAAAAAAAACAACGGATGAGGTCAAAATCTGCAAAACTTCTCAATCATTTAGTAGTAAGTTGTGCTTAGTTTAATTTGTCACGTATATAATTGTAGGTAGAAAAAGTAAATGTTGATAAGTACACACCAAAAGCAAGGTCAAGAGCTTTTAAACAAGAATGGACTCCCGGTGGGGGAGTACTAATCGAAGTTGTATGACAAAATCTTCATTATCTAAAATAAAAAAAACACTTCTTACAAACTAATATACCAGCCAATCTACATAGCGGCCCTGTTTTAGAAAAGATGAAAAAGTTGAACCAATGTCACATTTTCAAAGATGTTGGTATTTTGCTTTTGTTAAAATGATTGATCCAACTGGTAAAAGGAAAGGAGAGAAGATATTTCTCATATGTACATTTCTATATATATATATATATATATATATATATATATATATATATATATATATATATATATATATATATATATATATTGAAGATATGAACTCATTGACGTATGTGTGTATTTATATGTACTTTGAGTGTACTCTTGTAATCGTTCACTGTTCAAATTATTGATCCAGACAGAATAAAATATGTTTGTATATAAATATTTAAACTTTCTAATTTAAAAGTATATTTATTGTTATTATTTTTCTTTCCCATTCTCTCATTTTTCCTATATTGCTTTGAACTGCTAACGTGATATAATTTCTAAATATTTGTTTATAGGTGAAGAGACATACACTATTTATTAAAAGAAAGATATTCTAGTTTCTAATTCTGTTTAGATCTGGGGAACGCAATCTTATTATACAAAACTATTTTCATAACATGTATATTTTAACGAGAGGAAAGGACTAAACATCAAATGTAAGACAATGGGTGCATGGTTTTTATCGAATAGAATAGATAAAAAAAAAGTTCTGATTGAATATACCGAAATTAATCAAGGGCAACAACTGAGAGCTTTGGAAAGATGAGGGAAAGTGATAGATTTTTTTCCCAAGAGCTGAGCAAAGTATTAAGAAACCCGAAAATATCGCTAGAAACGAATAAATGTGTACCTAAATGTTAGTATCCGTCTTACTACAGGACACTGAATGCTGGACATCTTCTCAAAGATGAAGAAGAGATTTAAATCAACTGATATGTGGTTCTACAAAAGAATGCTGAGAATACCATATTCCGAATATATGAGCAAGGACGAGGTTCTATAGCCAATGGCAACAAACAGGACACTTATACATAACATCAAACAGAAGCAGTTGACATTTATAGATAACATAATGAGGAAAGAGTGTTTGGTAAATGTGATACTCATAGGGTAGACTGACGTGCCAGCAGAAAGCAACGCACAACATAGCTGGCGAGCTTCAGCAAAAAGGCGACGGAGCAAATTTTGCACGTAATGGAATCTAACAAACAGAACAGGAATTGGAAACCTGCTTTCCGTTTACTAATCCATTAAATCATCCAAGCTTACAGCACCTGGTATTCCAAATCCGTCACTCAAGTAGATACTAGCTTGGCTCGACGTTGCTTAACTTCGGTTATCATACGGGGACCGGTGTATCAAAGTCATGTGGCCGTAAGCCTTATACGTTAAACCACACAGGAACATATAATGTGTGAAACGTTTGATAAATCTGATCGAAATTATAATTTAGATCAGATTTATCAAACGTTTCATATATTATATGTTCCTCTGTGGTTTAACGTGGTTTAGACACATTTGTAGGTACAATAAATTTTACGGTTCCTATTAATCTTATTCCTCTTAATCCGGAAATGTTAATAAGCATTTGAATTTTACACGATTACCAGATTACTTCAAGTTCATGGGGCGGTGTATTTAATAAACAATTTCATGTAATTCTCTAATCGTAAAATTTGGTTTAATTAGTAAAAGTTAATGAGGCAATTAGTGACGAAGTGTTGTATTAATGAATTATTATCACGTGACAACCTTCGCCTTTTGGCAGGATGAATAATCAAATATGCTTTTAAAAAGATGGAGCAGAACATTCCATGGGGTATCTGTGTAAGTATTTACTTTGTTGTGAAAATTAATTCTAATGGTGCAAAACTATTTTACACAGCAAATAGTCCCTTTCAAAACAATGTCCTTCGTTGTAAAGAAAACTAATAATTTATTGAAATTTAATCATATTCTGATTGCAAAACGGATTGAGGAATCGGAGAGCCAGGTTCGATATCCAGTTAAGTTCATTATATTCACTAACGGGATTATAACTTTGGGAAAGGTAGGAATCCATTTCTTCTCTCCCTTGGTAAGAGTAGATAGCACAACAGACTGGGATTTATAGAATTGGGTGGCAACCCGTCAAGGAGAAGGAAAAACACTTAAAAACTCCTGTATTTAGCCCTGGCGAAGCACAAAGTATGCAGCTACGAAAAGTATCGTTTGCATTACTTAGATGATCCCGAATATGGTCGAGACCTGTGATAATGGGAAGTACGTATGACTACCTGTAAGACAACCGGTTTAGGAGAAGGAAAGCTCTTAATTCAAAACTGTATGTAGCACTACCGAAGCACATACTATGCAATTAAGGAAAGGATCTTTCCAATTGACTTGATGATCCCGACTACGGTTGTCTCATTAATCTGGTTCTTATCCTCGTTAAGAATGAATTTTAACTCAAAGATGTTTCTTGATAAACGCTACTTCGTGGAACAGACTCCGGATGGGATGCTTCTCTCATCACTAAAATATCAACCTTTTCTTTTCTGAAGTCAAACTGTATCTGTCCTACTTATCCTTATAATCTGAACTTATCTTCGATTATTACATCGATACAACTTCACTTAGTTACTCTAACTTGAGTGGCTCTTGAACCTTGATTTGTGTGATCATTTGATAAATCAGAAACAATCATTATGCAAAAACATTCCAGATAAACCATCAACACATAACGATGAGTCGGTCTATGGAATTATTAATAAAACATATATAGTTATGTTTAGGACAGGGATGCTAACATCTTTTAAAAAAGCTCTTAGAGTCATTGAAAAAAGAATGGAATCAATTATCAAACTTATTCTTTGAAAAACTTTTGCAACAAATGCCAAAAATTTGTGCGCAGTAATCACAACAAAAGGAGGATATTCTGACGAGAGCAAAATTTAATCATAAAATGCTTTTTTCTTCTTTTTGTCATTTCTAATAAAAAATCATGTCTCACTATCTTTTAACTATGTATAATAATTTTCACTTATAAATAATTTTCACTGAGAAAACAAATACTTTTGGGGCCAATTTAAAAAAAAATACCACAGATGGCCTGTACTGGTTGAACTCTAGAGTATATATAATCATGTGAAGTGCAGATTAGACAGAATTTCATATACGATTATAAATACACTGCAGACACACACGCTTCATCCTGATATGAAGAAAGATTTTAAGACTTTCACAAGAATGGCCATATTTCTGGACATTATTCTCTTTTCAGTATAAGAAAGAAAGGAGGAGCTTGAAAAATTGGATGTTAATATTTTTTTCGTCTTTTTGCCAATAACCGACAGTGTGAATTGGCAGTTGGGCTAAAAATAAACACATCCATTTTGCTTGTCGATAATTCATGACTCAGGCATAGATTTCTTTTCTTATTATTGTAATTTTGTTTCTAGGCCCTGCACAAACAAGGACGGGATTGTAGAATATATGATGACCGATTTGAAACTATGGGGAATGGGAATATGCCTGCAGTGGAGAAACATAAACCACAAAAACATATCTATAAATCGCCATAGTTCAAACAGGAACTTGATTTTAATCAAAACTGGATATACATTTTCAGTTTGTTTGTAGCCTTGCCATTTATAAGTTTTCATATGCTTATACATACACACACACACACACACACACACACACACACATATATATATATATATATATATATATATATATATATATATATATATATATATATACACTCCGTGCCAAATTATTATCGAGATGACTTTTTTATAATATTTCAAAAACTGTTCAATAAATTCATATAAAATTTTCACACAATGTTGGCAACACTGACCTGCGCAATCACTGAAATTTTCGACCTGATCTGCGCAATGCAAACAAACTGGAGCCATATTTGTTATCAGCACGGTGATTTGAGCGTGCCAAATTATTAGAAAAGTGTAAGAATTTAGTAAAAAGATGGGCCATAAAAGCAGTAATACTAAAAAAAAAACTATCACCTCAGAACTTTCAAAAGGTAAATCTGCCCTAGTAATTTCTAAGATGATAGGGAGGTGTCATCAAACAGCGAAAAATTTCAACGCCGACCCTACACAAGTACGCAAAAGGGCAGGTAAAGGCAAGCCAAGGGTTATTTCACGTCGTCTCATGTCACGAATTAAACGAGAGGCCACAAAGAACTCTGGATTTACCAGCCAAAAGCTTTTCAGTAGCACTGGAGATCCTCCCGTGTCTAAAAGTACTCGGTGTCGGTATCTGAGGGAAATAGCAACAACAGTCAAACCTGTATCGAAGCCTCTGTTGACGAGAAATCACATTCAAAATCGATTGAAATGGGCCGAGGACAATATGAAGATTGACTTCTCTAAAGTTTTGTTCTCAGACGATACTCAAGCAACACTTGACGGGCCAGATAGATGGTGCAAAGGCTGGGTAATGAACGGACAGTATCGCCATCATCGTTTGAGACGCCAACATGACGGTGGAGGCATGATGATCTGGGGTGGTATTATTGTAAAAACATTAGTGGGCTCATGGATGACGTCAATATGACTGCTGATGCATACATACCGTTTATGAAGGAGCATCTTGAACCGTGGATAAAAAGGCAAAGAGTTGCCTTCAGAAGGGCCATTGTTTTTATGCAAGATAATGCTCCCTCACACGCTACTCACAAGACTACTGAATGTTTGAAACAGGCTTCGATGAACCTCGAAAAATGAAGAGGCCAGCAAATTCTCCGGATTTAAACCCAATCGAAAACTGTGCCTTTGTTTGTATCTGTTATTATTTGTTTAATTATCTTATTTATTAGCTTTTGTTGATCATAAAAATTCACGTGCAACATTAATAAACGTTTTGTGTGCTCAATTCTGGGATTTTTACTAAACCTTTCTAATAATTTGGCACGCTCAAATCTCTGTACTGATAACAAATATGGTGCCAGTTTTTTTACATCAGGTCGAAAACATCAATGATGTTGCAGGTCAGAGTTGGCGACATTGTGTGAAAATTTTGTGTGAATTGACTGGACAGTTTTTTGAAATATTATAGAAAAGTTATCTCGATAATAATTTGGCACGCAGTGTATATATATATATATATATATATATATATATATATATATATATATACATACACACACACACACACACATATATAAGACGTTCGTCGGAATATTTACTATAAAAGGATGACGTCATAAAAACTAGTACCCACAATATTAACATTTGAACTAATATATATATGTGTGTGTGTATGTATGTATATGTGTGTCTATATATATATATATATATATATATATATATATATATATATATATATATATATATATATGTGTGTGTGTGTTTGCGTGTGTCTGTGTGTGTGTGTTTTGCGTGTGTCTGTGTGTGTGTATGCAAAATTTCAGATATAGCAAGAATATGTCTATTAATGAACCCTTTCCATAAATCTAAAAGGAAAACTTATCCGACATTTAATAACACTGATAAAGTTCATCAGAGAACGTAAGGCGTTGGCTAAGAAAATGTTTTATTTATATATATATATATATATATATATATATATATATATATATATATATATATATATAAAAATATAAAAGGGGAAAATGAAATGTAACGTAATTTAACGTTTGAGTGTATCACGGTTATTCCAGTAACTGATTGTTTCATACACCCATTTGACTCAGACGGGCAAGATGAAAAATAATTTTTTCCAATTCTTTGAACTGGCAGTCTAAATTATCCCGGTTATATCGTTACTAAAGACTCGAGATCATGGATTTAGTTTTCCTCAGAAATATTCCACCTGTACACCAGCAACTGAAGAAATGCAAATTGCTACGACGTTGAAAACCACAAGAAAATAAACTTCGTAGCTGAATCAGTCATTGTTCAATGATATCACATGAAAATGGATAGCATAATTTTATATCTATAATATGATAGATAACACTCAAACATCCTTATCCTAAACCAGTTGTCATCCAAGGCTATAGAACCTGGTATTTACCCATAGCTGGGTGAGAAGAATTAAGTGAATATAATGGATTCGACTGGTATTCGAACTCGACTCTCGGATTACTCAATCCGAGGCTAACCACTACTCCACAGTGCTTTATATATATATATATATATATATATATATATATACGTTTCATTAAATAATATAGACAAGTGTTGTCTATTTATTTTATGTAATTTTTTTTCGTAACATCTGAAAAGTTTAATAACATTATCGTTGAACGGAGAAAGAAATTCACAATATTGATCCATATTTTTTTAATATAATCTAAGCTTTCGGCTTACTTAAGCCATTATCAAAGATGTCAATTACAACATATTAAACAATATACGGACACGACA